AACCGCACCGCAACCGCACCGCATGACAGAGCCTAATCCATCTGTCATGTCCTCTAATGTTCTTTTTTTTTGTTAAAAAACTCTGTTACCTGATGTCAGGTGACAGCGATTCGTTACCCGGCATCGAAGAGAATCGAAACCGTTCCGTCCTCAGTGGACGATAGTCGGGTAAGTTATCATATCGCCTGAGCGCTACAGCTTTTTCTATAATTTCAGTTTACTGAAGTTTTCCTTCAGGGTACAACTTTTATCTCGCACATCAGTCATCATATTCAACCTCCTCCACCACTGACGACGACAGCGGCTTCGAGAACGGCAACCGTCAGTGGCCAGTCATCAACGAGTCCTGAACGACATAGAGTCATGCCTCCGACTACCGCATATCGTACAGTAGATATACCTTTCGATGAATCACCGGCCGCCTATCAGCCTAAGAAGGTAGTGACCCTGGGTCTACTAAACCCTAGAAACTACGTTTTCTCCTCAGTTTTTAATTAATAGCTGTTTAGGATGAGAATGTTCGTACAGTGACAGTGACTATGGGCACCCACCCAGTACAGAAAGGCCTAGGATTTTCAATTACAATCGAACGTGGACGTCCGACTATCGATAGCGTCATAGTCAGCTCACCGGCCGATCGAGCTGGACTTCTGGTTGGTGCTGGCCTCTTCTCATAACTTATTTAATTTGCATACACAGATTGGGAAGTGGGCAGGGCCATGAACTAGCCCATTATAGACTTTCTCTCATTCTTGGCTTGGGCATATACTTGTGTGTATGTGCTAGCTTTACTCTCTCTTAGATTTCTCTATTGGTCTAACGTTTCGGCCTCTACGCCTTCGTCGGAGCCAGAGGGTCGAGAAATCAATTAAAATCAATCCTCTCCCCCGAACCCTTTGTAACGCTTGGAGTTTGGAATCTCGAGAAGGCTGAAGCCATAGGGGATAAGGATAAATGGTTAAGTGTTTGGGCCCTGATCTATCCCGTTTGAGGGATGCGCCCACCCATTCGACCTCCATTCAGAATCGTAGTGGCGTCATGAATGCGTATGTGGCCTATACAATGACTTGCGGTAGCCAGCCGATGTACAAGTCAATCTTTTTATCCTAGACGAGTCTGGAACCAATTAACCGACCTCGGAGGGATGGAAGGCTTTGTTAGTCTAAGCTGATACCTATCCGAGATTCGAACGCGTGACCATGAGTGTGTGAAGGGCGTCACTTGCCTCTACATCTTCTCCGCTCATATTTCCATAAACTAAACTTCATAAACTGTCATAAAAACGGAAACGAAGTTCCTCAATGACCAACAGCCTTTTTCGGATCATGCCAAGTATTCGATTCACTTTCTAAATTCCACTTGCTTTTTAGTGTACCATCGCGACCTTTGCAATGATTGCAGGATTCGGCTGGTGCACATTCCGATGTTTTTGTCATCCCGGACTAGTTTAGTACCGACAGGGCAAAAGGGAAACCCGCTTTATTTGAGCGGGGCGAGCTTAGGGATCCGACAGATAGCGGTAGTGTACTAGGGGCACCCCTTTCACTTGTTTTAATTCGGTTTTTTTCATTTATAAATAAAAATGTTTGAAGAATCCCACAAGCAGCCTAAAAGTAGCTAGTTTAGATCGGTGATCGAGTGATTTCCATAAATGGAGAAGACCTCAAAGACAAATATCCGTCGGCGATCAATCGAATGCTACATGAAGCAGCTCGATTGGGTGAAGCTGAAGTATGCATTGAAAGAAAGGACGGTAAGTTGATGAATGATCGGTTTTAGGAGGGTAGCAAGCCGTATAATTACGTCGGCTGTTGTAAATCTCGAGGGAGGGTTCTGGAATCAGATGTCGAGGGTTTCCACATGCGTTGATAGTACAGAATCGCTGATCCGTTCCTTCAACTGTTTTTTAAACAGATCTATGAGTAGAGAAAAGTAGTTGTCTCCTCTCGCCTCCCCAATCTACAGCCGAAGCCGGTGACTTCCAAAGAGCCTGCTCCGTGGTCATAACCCTTTTCTCTTCAGGACTAGTTTCGGCACCCGTTTACTTCATTTGCATCGAGATTTTCCCGTTGCTCTTTGAGGACTTTTGAGGTTCAAAAATTCTCCAAGCTGTCTTGAAACCGCTAGTCTAGATCGGTGACCAAATGCTTTTTTGAACCTGGTCATACCTTTTTCTTTAAACTTTCCTAATGTCGTGCTCTTTGCTTCCTCGTAAGGTAATGGTGTCAACTCGGTCGAATCGGGCTTTCATATTACGCGCAGCCGGTCGTAGTCCTCCCGAACTATGCCAGATTCTCAACATGCATGGCCAGACTATTTATTCATAGGACTTGGAGCGAGGTACACTTCGTGACCACCCTCGGGGAGGTTGTTCAGCTTCGGCAGCCATTAATCAACTCGTAAAAAAATCGGAAAAGCTTCAAACGCAATCAATGAAGAGTTTGGAAAAGATGGTTGGAGATTCGGAAGTTGCAAGTCGAGTGATGAGAAGCGTAGTAAAACTGGGATGCGCTACTAGGAATATCAATGGAAGCAGGCTCTTCCGGACCTCAGAAGAAAGAGAACAGTAGAATTCGCAGAAACACTTGGAGATGGCCGTGCGCTTGAGTACCTTTTTTACCTATGAAAAAGTTTTCACGATTGAGCGAGTATGCATAGCAAGACTTCCGTGTACTTTCTAGAACATCCGAAGTAGGGGAGGAACAGCAGTCACTTGAAGTTCCCATCCCGCATCGGAAATAGTTTGGGCAGAGTACCTGCTATCACTTCGGTTTTGTGAAGATGGACAAGAAAATTGATGCAACGATCATCTTGAAAAACTTCGATGAAACGTTGTCAACCGAAAGTCCAGGAATTAGTGTTCCTCTCCAGCCCGGAGAAGACCACGTCACAGATCGAGCCAGTTTGACTGACCTCGTTCCAGAGCAGCAGAAGATTGTCATGCTAATTAATCCGATCTGAATTGAGTTTGAGGTTGAATTTACCGAGTCATTCACTTTGGTTGATTTTGCGGAGAAGGTCTAGGCTGAAAAGCCTTCTTCGGTCGGATCGTTGAAAGCTGGTCTATGAAAAGCATGGGATGAAGTTTCACAGGTTGGCATACGAGCAGCAGCCGAAGAGTATCCGACCTTTCTGAAATATCAAGTCGAAAGAGACGAAATGGGTGATGTCCACCCAGTTGTGTAGATGTGCAGAGTGGGCGTTAAAGAAAACAGGGAAGAAGCTCATAAATAAATGTCAACGACATTGGAGCGCTAGATGGTTGATCCTCGGTAAGTGACAGTGACAATACGGGAATGGACGAAACCTGATGACGTCTCCAGAGGCCATACAACCAGATGAATCTACTTCGTCAATTTAGCGTGGGGATATGATCTCAGGGCGTTTGCAGGTGTGGACTGGAAGAGCGAGGCGGCTGCTTAATGGAGTCAGAGTAGGGCGATTTCTCTGTCTATGCCTGACGGCCACCCATGTATCACCTGACGGCTCGTTGATCACCGATTTCCTAGAGGGACGGACACTAGGAACGGTTTTTAATCGATTCGTCGCACGCGGCTGTCGCGGACCAGTCCGCCGTTATTACAGCTCCAACGTTCAGCGTACAGCTTAATCAATAAGCGATCCTTATTTTAAGCATGACTCTTCTAATAGTTCCTTTGTTCCTGTATTTCTTACCTGCTGTTGAATCCTGCTACATTCCTTCGCACGCGGCGTCCCTCTCGCGGCGACGCGACAATTTCGTTCCTGCTGCACCACACCCGATTCCTTGAGTGGATGCCACTAAAGTCTCCATTCGTCCCCACTGTGGTCCAGTGAAGTTGTACAACAAGGGAATAATGTAGAATGTTGATTTTATTGTTGTTTGTATCCAATTTCGATTAGAATGAATGGAATAGAGCGAAATTACTTTGTCACCATATTTATTCCCCATCCTGGATAGGTATCTATGCTATTTTCGCCGGCTGATAGTGGCTTTAGTTTAAGATTCCCCATTTCTGTCCTATATTATGCGTTGTGCTTTTGTGATGAAGTTTGTGGATTCCCAAAGTTCTGTAGGTACCGCATGCTTGCTTTCAGGGAATAGAAGCGGAGATAGCCGTCTTCCACTTTAGTGCATGACATCGCTACAGCAATTTTTTCGCATTTTCTCTATCCCGAATGCTTATTTTTTCCACTTTCCTGCTTTCCTTTTCAGCAAAAATCGCTCAAGTGAAATCGATTACATCGGTGGAAAATTTCGACAAAGTCCGTTCAGTGTTCACCGAGAAGACGATCGATTCCTATGCAGAATTCAAGCGAAAACACAGCCGAGGCATGCTGCTTCTCTTCCTATTTATTTTGTGCTTTTTTCTCCTGAGTATCACCACCTTTTTTCTCTAGGAGTTTCCTCACCCTGCTCCTCTACCTATTATTTCAGCAGTTTCACCTTTAGAATGTTGTATGATTTCCTCTTGACGTAGGTAAACAATGCATTGTGAGAGTACTTGATTAAGTAACTGTGAAAGTGTTCCCCTCGCTGTCCCCGTCTCTAGCACCCTTCAGACGCGAGCGGTTGCGATGCGTCAACGTGACTAGCAGCGATATTTGGAGTGTTCAACCTCTGAGAAGCTGTGACTATTGATGGAGTACATCAGTTACAAAACAATTGAATACTTTGCATTGTTTTCAGCGCCACGAGCAGATCATCCGTCACCACGGGAATACAATTCATTGCCGCGATCGACGTCTGCTGGGGTGATTCCACAAAGCAGAAGGGATAGCTCTATTTCAGGTGACTCCTTTCTTCTTTTCCAACCGGAAATATAACAAGGGTAGAATCGGCAGTCATCAAACTTTTTGGTATGCTGTACGCTTCTATCTGAAGACTGAAGTAATTTTATTTGGAAAATGACTTGCAAGACCAGCTAATCTGCTGAAAGGGTGCTTTATCTTCCCGAACGGATTCTAAAGAACAATCAAAGATTCCTTAGAGGAAAATGTGGATGTCCTCGGTGGATTTTGATTCCACAAGAAGAACAAGTGTGACTAAGCTTTCCCACGTTTTCCGACACGCTCTGCTCTGAAAAGGACATGGGCATGAGTTAATGTTGCTATCGGACTTCTACAATGTAGCTCAGTTGTTTAAGCTTCATTATTCTGTGTACATGCAAGCAGTTCAAGTCCTTTTAAAAGCATTAGCGTTTGCTGAACTCCTGAAAATTGTTTGAATGGAAATAGGAACCGGTGCCTTCAAAAAGATCTTTCGAAAAGCTCGGAAAGGCTTGGTCTTTTAGTCTCATGGGCTCACTCAGGGTTGTATTCGAAAGTGTCCGTTGATCAAAATACTCTATTTCCAGCAAGTCAGCGTTCAGCTGCTGTTTCACCGAGCCGAAGCTATTTTGATAGCAGGACGAGCACCCGTACTGAATACAGAACTGTCAATGGGCCGTCATCCGATTACAAGTGAGTGAGAGTATTTGATTGATATCGATTTATCAGGCAAACGGGGTCAAACGAACCAGGTACGGCGGTTTACAGGGAGCGTCAAAATTAGGGCAACACAGGTAAAAGCAAAATTCATGATATTCCTGAACTTCTGAAATTTTTAGCCGACGTACATACTCAAGACGGACGAGTTCCTAAACGTTGTGAAAGCTATAGTGGTTGCATCATTTGCACTGGGACCCACACCTTGCACGCGAGCAGGTTTCTGCAACTAGCTGTATGCTGTGGTGTGCGCATTTGAACAACTCGTCCAAATACTCCTTCAATCCAACTTCTGCCGTCACATTCTCGTCCATTCCCTAATTCTACTTCTTTTTCAAAGGCTTACACTTTTGCAAATAGGCTGATTTCCGGGTTTTCTTTGCCACATTCGTCCTATTAGATTCGTGCATCCTGCCTTCAAAAAAATTACGACAAATCTTTCAAAAAATTGTCGTTTGCCGTAAAAGTATTGCCGTTATGATTGTAACAGTTTAGCTACAAGATCTAGCTGCCATGAACATCTTTTTTAACACTTTGTTCCCCTTTCAGAGTGACATCAATGCACGAAAAAACAGGTCCCGGCAAACTGACCGATTTCGTGCCAGAAAGTGAACGAGCTGCAGCGAAAGCGGCAGAGGACGAGAAGAAAGGTGAGTCCTTCAATGAACATCGCGACGGTTTAGTTGGAATCATTCTTTCCGGCTCAGAATACTCCTACCGTCGCGCTTCCGAGGAGGAACCGCGACTGATACGTAACTACGATCTTCCACCTGCCAAACCTGCAACCACAAGGGTCACGCCAATTCCTGTGACGGTTAGTACAGTAACAGTGTGTTGTTGATTTCTAGCTGATCAATATACAGCCTCGCAAAAAATTATTTGTCTAATTTTAAGAATTGAATGCATCAGTGTTCAGACCTCACCCTTCGCCGCACCACGTCGCATAAGCACAGAGAACGAGTCAGTGAGTGCGGTCCCGAAACGATCGACACTGCCCCGAGATGTAAGTTTAACCTCGATCCAGATTTTACTTTTTTCTATTAAGGTTGCTTCTGTAAATCTCTATATCGAGCTCTGTATTCATCGCCATTGCTATTAAATTTGAATTTAATTAAATCAAGTTTCATTGTGTAGCTTATAAGTCATCATTCAAGAGCAGTTTAATTAGCTAAAACTCTGTTTTGCTAAGAAATTAAGCCAAATTCTGGTTTATTGCTGGAAAGCATGCCTTACAGTAATGCATCACATGGAATTTACTGAGATATTTTGAAATACACGGACGGAAATGGGCGATGTACGGGATATGTGGCACTGGGGCGCGCGGTAGCGCAGCGGTTGCAGAATGATGCAGAAGGCGAGAGCTCGCTTCACGAAATGAGCCATAGAGAATGACTTTCAACATTATAAAAGACTCGATTTCTTTAAACTTTGTCAATTTGAGTGCGGCCCATCAGCGAGCACCCAGTGAATTCTACACCAGCTACCCCGCGAGTCAACGGATATACCAGATGTGACTTCAGTCGTTACGTATTTTACTAATCATTCAGCCCTAGAAGTAAGCAAGATCACACTCCCGGAGGTTCCACGTACCAAACTGTGAAAGCCATTTCGTTACCGACGGCGAATTCCTGGCCAACAATTCGCTCGTTGGCATGTTGCGCTTGTCGACAATGGTATTGTTCAGCTGAATCATTGCCTCAACCAATTGTTGCCTCTCAGAAGATGTCTGATGAATGTACGACAGAACGCTGACGATACTTTCCCTGTCGTAGTAGTACTACTACGTACACGACCATCTGAAGCTTTCAGTCGACGTTTCTACTTCTACGGTTCGACATGGTACTGTGTTGTCCAGGAAGACGAGTAGTGGTAATGTAACTCTTACTAAGTTTTTAAATCCGCTTGCTCCCACTGTTTTCAGGGGCTGCCATCATGCATACTGATTCATTTTATGAATTCTCATTCGCTCCACCGAAAAGGCATACCCCGAAATGACTGGTGGTGTTCTTATTGTTACTAAGAAACTTTGTTTTCATGAGCCATCACAATGCCTTTCAACGATTCAGAATACATTGGGGCAATGCTATGGCCTCGGAAGTGTTGTCGGGGTTACAGAGCTAGTTCGGGACCGTCCAGGATGTCCTGTAGAACTACCCTAATGAACTTGAAATTTGCTCTTACGGTTTTTGTCAAAGCTTCAAACCATAACCACGAATGTTCCTTCACCGGTGAAGATAACAGATCCAATACCCATACTACATAGTCGGTGGGTACCCAAAGCCGAGGCGATTCTAAGTTCCGGTAAGATACAGTTTGCTGCCTAGCCACTCTGAATTCATCCCACCCAAGTATGCTGTCCACCTTCGATTGAAAAAATACCAGCTGACTTCTTGTCAGCAACATGCATTCTCATTGACTAAGCCATGTTACAAATGTACATTTGCAAAAATATCGGATTTAATAAGTTTTTGTCATATTGAATGTTTTTTGAATTAAGACAGAATCAATTTGGTTCCCAAAAATATGAGAGAATAGAATCGTCCGTAACTTTTCAAAAGCTCTTTTTGCACTTTTAAAATACCACTGGTGAAAAATGAGAATGCTCTGATTAGAAAGAATGAATTTCTTTTTTGAAATATGCCCATGACTCCCATTCAGAATCTAAAGGCAGTTGAACACCTCTATATTGGCTGCAGTTGGTGGAGGTAGTGTAGTGACAAGTGGCGCATTTCACACACCCATGATGACGGGTTTAATGCCGGATCGCTATCCGTCTGATCCAACCGAGCCCTCCATCTCTCTGGGTTCATTTAAATGGTACCAAAATCGTCTGGAAGGAGAAAAGCACCGACTTGTACATCGATTGGTCACCGCAAGCCATTGTATAGGCTACATCCGCATTCAATACGCTACTACGATTCTGAATGGAAGTTGAATGCGCAGGCGCATCCCTCTGACGGGATTGATAAACATCCCAAGGTCTTGTACTCTAAGACTTTTTGTGGTTACAATGGCTACCGATGCCAGTTAATAGACATGTCCGCCTTTTCCAGGGTGAATTCCACTGTGAAGTGAATGGACCCCATCATGGTAGGGTTTCTGATTGACTCGGGTAAAATCCAATCAAAGATTTGATACCCGGAAGCACCGGTAGTGGCCTCAATTGTCTTCGTTACACCTTCGTCCGGGGATCTGCTATTTTTTACAAAATTATTGTTCTTGACAATCTCTTTGCAACATAGGGGACACTGGCGCACCGCCGGATCGTAAGCAGAGGTTCACCCAAAGATGAAATCCCTAACCATTTTAGGGATGAGTTCGAGAGTAGAACTATATACGTGGGTGGCAAATTATGAAGAACATTGCCCTACTGTATAAGGTTATTTATTAATTAATTATTAGGTAAGTAACTGACGCTTTCGAATACATCCATGATTTTTTGCTGGGGGTGAAATCATGGCGTACCATTTAGTCTCTTTCGATTTCCTGTTCCCATTCCATTTCAAGTGCTTTTCGACGTTGGCCAACAATTTGAATGCCTACGCCTGTCTGCCTCTGTAAATATTGTGCACAGACGACAATACATTTCCACCCTAAAAGTCCTTTCCAACGGTTTCCTTGCACCAACCCTGAACAGCAATCGATTAGTATCTTTTGAATTAGCAACTACGGTAATGACGACAACATAATAAGCTTCTATGTCTTAATGCATGCATTTCGCTGACTTCCTAATGACCATGGCATTCATATTTTGCCAATTTTATTGATTTTTTTTTGAGATGCTGGAAATTTCGGAGAGGTTTTTGCTAAGGCAATTTCAATTCAGAAATTTGGATGGCTTCTATTTTCGAGTGATTTTAAGCAAATATTTTCATAAAATCTGAGTTTGTTATCAACTTATTCGCTGCTAGTTGTGGCGCACTCAGTGGAGTTTATATATAAATATAAAAATAAATAAATAAGAACTCGAAAGTTTCTTTTGATTGCATGGTTGATTTCCAAAATTATTTTCAGACTCATATTCATGAAGAAAGTCGCCATCTTGAAGATGATACGGTAGCTGGAAGATCTTATTTGGTGAGCCATTCCATCGATTGATCCAGAGTTTTCCGTTTCTTCTGGTTATGGACGAGATCTCGGTTGAAACTTCAGTATAGTTCAACTTGTCCTGTTCGAAATGGGTCGCAACCGAGAGAACTCGTCCAAATGCCATTGCATGAACCTCCTGTTTATGTTCCCTGTGTTCGTGGCTCTTTCAGCATGGATTTTTTTTTGTGATGACGTCCTTCAAATGCGGCTTGTGTATGTGCTTTCCGGAGTTGTTGTTTTTTGTGATTCATGCCGAACTGTCAGTTCTTGACTTCGTTGTATTGTTGCTGTTGCTTTGTCGGTGCTTGAGCGTCCAGCGATTTTTTATTTTCATGGGCATGTCCCACCGAGTAGCTTCTACCCCCGTTGCCTGCCATACATTCATTTAAGTTCATTGGCATTTCTCCTTTGTGCAGCTTGTCGGCTTTCTCGCACTGATAGCTAGGTTTCTCTGAGTTTTCAACTTTACAAAATAGAAAACCGTCGGTTCAGGGGTCAAAAAGTATAAGCGTGGTTGCAATAACTGATAGCAAGACGGGAAAGTTTCCACAACATCGAAAGATTCGGGCCCACTGAATAGATTCTTCCTGTTCTGAATATGCATCCCACCATAATTGAATGGTGTCCTCCGCTCCAAGGAATTCAAGCGGGCTTGGCACCATAATTTAGGCAGCGATGAGGCTCAGGCCTTAATGAATTTTGGGTTCAGGTCTCAGTGAGGAAGAATACACAGCATCCATTCTGATTATTCATTTAATTCTTTCTCACCAGCTGTATTCAATGCCCCTCCTCCAATCCCCATGACATCATGGAACATCATACCCAATTCTTCATCTCAGCGGCTCGTCCTATCGTCGCAGGACCACACAGAAGAACACTTTTCTGCATATCATCAGCGAATTTTGTGGAGATTGATAATCACTTCAACTAGAAATAGACAAAGAAGACCTTCAATTAAAGTTCAATCAGCATAAAAGGACCTTCTAAAGAGTTGACGGAGTGGCAGAGGAGTGGCAATTGCTGGTAGCATCGCATCGTCCTTTCATATTGGACCACCACTCGAGCCAACTACGCCAATTGCTTTTCTGAGGCCATGTAAATGAATGGTAAATGAATTAAAGCAAGGTTGCTCGAGAAGATGAGAACACCGGCTTGATCATCTCGTATTTCGATGTACAGAATGCTGGCACACATCGAGTAGCTTTGCTATTCTCAATGAAATTCTGAAGCATACTGTGCCTTCCAAAAGTCGACCATTGCAAATCAAGGAACGACCAGGGTTGCAATGATATTTCGTGACAAACAATCCATGGAAATTTGCTCAATCAAACGTATGCGGATGACGCAAAGGGCTACTCTTGTAGGTCCCAAAACCGTGCCCAGTTCGTCCTTGTGCGACGGGTAGCAGTCCTTCTTGCCGCTGCTACATATGGGCAATATATTGTCGGACAGAAGATCCAATCACAACTTCGATAACACCAGTTTTTATTTTTTTTCCTGTTTTTTTTTCAGTCCTCCAACAATTGCTCTATTTGAGTTTTCATGTTAGAATCACAATGCATTTGCATCATCTATCTTGATCTATCCTGCTTTCCTACTGTGCTATCCTTTTCGCAGCCACCCCTCTGTTTCCTCTTTTGATTGTATTTTGTTTTCATTCTCATACGACGGAAATTTCTTACAAGCTTTAGAGGATTATTGGGTAGCGCCCCTCAAAGTCTCCCATAAGGGTACCAACAAAGAGGAAGCGATTGATGTCGCTGTCTGTTCATTCTTGCGTGAATCCCGCACTGTCGCAAAATCTGTTTTTCTTTCAAAGGCACAGTTCACGATAAGAACGGTTTCTGAGATCCCCCCACAGGATGAATTTGAGGCCCCGCGTATACCATATCTGGAACTATTAGGTCGGAAAATGACCTAGTTAAGGAGTTATAAAAGCTCAAAGATTGGCTCATGTGTACCCTCGGACGAGTTTCACCGGGATTATGGAGGCTGCACCGACTACAAGGGAACCCATGTAGGAAGTTAAGGAACTTATCATGACCCATAGCGGCAGTGAAGACAGCTCTGTACAGTCTAGCTTGATGTAGTCAGCTCTTTGCGCAATAACAGTGACTGAAATCTCGTCCGAATACTCCTTCCATGCTATTTCCGTCATGGCAATCTTGTCCAACCTCTATTTTCCCCATTTTTAAAGAGCTCTATTTTTCTCGAATTCGGCGGATTCCCTCACTTGCTTCACTACTAGGTAAACTATTCCCAATCTATACTTTAGCTTTTCGACTAAAAAAGTGTAACTCAAAATTATCGTGAACTGGGCCTTTAAGTTGCTTCCACTTCCTTCTACCTAAGCCATCATATGCCTTCACATCAGTTTCGGCAAGGTCCCTGATCACGTCCCGTTACCCCTTCTTTGGAGCACATCGTTGTCGCTTCAGTTGAGCATCGAAGTCCATTCCTTCCCTTATAGGGTATGATCCTGTGGCCTTCTTATTAGTACGCGCCCATACCATCCCAGTTCCTCAAAAGATGTTTAGCAGGGGACCACTTGGTACACGCGATCGAATCTTGCTTCATTGAACCCAACGACGGTGTGCACCCCTCCTGCCACTTTGTTCGAATTGAATTTCTTCACGAACACGGTGTCAGCATTCTGTTGATTATTGGCCTGAAAGAGTCATCCCAAGTAATCACCAAACATCCCTCCTTTGTTTGGTATTGATCCAAAAAAGCAAATAGAAATGAGGAAATCTTCCGTCGTATGAGTTCACCACTTCGGTTCGCTGTGCTTCTTCTTCAACTCGCGTGTTTCATCCTCGCCTTAATTCTTTTTCTTTTTTGTTCCTCATTCTCTCATATTTTTAGCGCAAAACACTTCGTCAATCTCTATCGCCAACACCTCCCGTTGGAATTCTGCGACGATCTCCCGAGATCGACTACTCGCCCCCATCAGGGGCCCACTGTAGTGAAAGCAGAACCGGCGGCACCACGACAACCACACGTGATTACCGCAGTGATCGTTGGACTTGCTCTTATCCAACGTCTCATCGGCGATCGCGTAGCTCGTACGAGTTACGCGATCGAGGTGGACAAGATTACTCCTTCGAGGACAGGTATCTAGATCGTGACGCCTATACTCGAGAAAAATTGGAGCTGGATGAGATGTATCGCAAGCGGACAACTCAAGAGAGAGTAGGGCGTCGTGACTACGTACCCCGAACGACGGTGGTACCAATCAGGCGCGTGGATGGCGACTACCGTAGCATACACACGCCACGCCCATTCCACATTCCGCGATCGAAGTCAAGCGACTATGTCCTCGAAAAGGAGTATGACCGCCGCGACGACTACTACATCTCAGAACCCTATCGTCGTCTTTACGATCGTGCAAGCGACTATTCGGATCGTTTTGAACGACGTGGCTACGACATCGACATACAAAGGGATTACGATCGTGCCAGAGATGCAGAACGACGAGCTTTGCGCGACACCTGGCGACAACCGCGGTACAGTAAGAGTGTCGAGCGACGAACTGAAGAGCACATGGAGTATGAAGAAAAGGAAAAACGCATGTGGATCCCCGAACGAAGGGTGGTGGTGGGTGTGAACTGTGTCCGTCTTGTCCTTTTGTGTTTCCGTATTGCTAGTATTCAATGTTTATGGTTGTTTTGTAAGCAGATAATCCTTCATTGTGTCATGTAAATTAGTGATAGATATTATCCTTCAGGTAGTCCCAGCCCCATTAGATTACTGGTACTTTTTTACTTTTACTTTTTGATACTCTTTTTTTACAACGAATCTACTTTGTGACTCTTATAGCCTTTACTCTGAGAAATTCCATCCCTATCGGTTTCATTCTAACACGAATTAACCACAACAAATCTTGACCTGGGAACCTATATAACTCAAGTGACTTCGATTATTTCGTTTCAGGAATCACGCGATTGGCGTGACGTAATCGATCAACAGCGGCAACCCGCCCCGG